TTTTTTTTTTTTTTGGTTTTTCTGCTTTGTGTTGTATGCACTTCGCCGCTTTTTTTCCCCTCTCTATCCATATCTGTTTTTTTTTTTTTTTTTTAACTCTATCTTTCTTTCTCTCTTTGTTATTACGTTCTTTTGTTTTGTTTTTGTTGTTGTGATGAGAGTTATGTGAATCTTATTTTCGTTTCTTTGACGTCTTCTCTGTGCCGTATGCACCAATTTTCTTTTATGTGTTTATAAGCCCCAGCCTCCCCCGTGTTGTTTGTGTGGATAGTGGGATAAAAGGTGACGGGGATTATGTGTAGAAGAATGAAATGTGATTCTGCTGGTGTGTGAGTGTGGTTCTTTTTGTTTCTATTTACTTTTTGTATTCCGTGGAGAGAAATAACTCGGACGGCAGGAGTGGCAGAGAGTACAACGAAAGAGAAGTAAAAAAAAAAAAAGGAAAAAAAAAACAGAACTTGTAACTCATTTCCCCTTCAATGCGCCCCGGGAAGTATCTCATACCTTTATAATATATATATATATATATATTAGATGGGTATGTATACATGTGTAGTTGTTTCTTTCTTTATTTTGGTACAGACTTCCGCATTGATATTTCCTCTTTTTTTTCTTGAGTTTCTGGGTAATAACTGTGTATTCATGTACGTATGTATGTTAGTCTTCTTTTTTTTTTCTTTTCTGTGTGGGATATTGCCCGTGACTGTTACAGCTTTAGGCGTGCTCTTCCTCTTTCATTTAGCGCATATAAGCACAGAGGCATGATCTTGTAGTCCCTTTGAATATGTTCTTGTAGATGTGTAGATTGATTATTGAACTCTTTGTTTTCCCATTGCTTCTATATCACTATTTTACTATATGGTTCAAACAGTCTATTATTCTCTCTATCTATCTCTGTTTTTTTGTTCTTTTTTTTTTTGATTTTGTTCCACTTGATTAATTTATTTATTTATTTATTTTTCTGCTTTTATTTGTTAACATTTGTTATTATTATTTTCTCTCTCTCTCTCTCTCTATTTATTTATCTATCTATCTATCTATGAGTAAAGAACCTGAGATGGTGTATTGTATCGTCATCACTCTGACCTTGAAGAGTGCGGTTGAGGAGCCTCTGTTACTGCATACATTCAACGCCCTGCAGCAGCAATGCCAACAATACGAACCCGGCACCATCACACATGAACTTCTGCGTGATGACGAAAACCCTCTGCGCTTCTCTGTAGTTGGACGATATGCCTCACGTGAGTCTATGGAGGAAATATATGAGAAGAATCCACTACTGCATGTTTTCCTGCAAACCACGACGTCCATCGCAAGTGATAGATCCTACACAAAGATGTCCAGTGTTTCGGTAAACGAAGACCTCAAGTCACTTCAGCCTGGTTCAATCTCTATGGAGTTTGTGGAATCTGTAAGGGAGGCTGTCTCTGCAGCAGCTACAGCAGGAAATCAAGAAATAAAAGAACCCCACTCATTACGTCAACAGAAAGGTGTACTTGTTTTCTGTGGTTCCCGTAATGGATCTCGTAGTAGTTATGTGAAGGAGGCGGAGTTGCTTGGTGAATATCTCGCCCTTACACTCCGTCGGCCGTTGGTGTATGGCGGTGGAACTGTTGGTATAATGGGAACAGTGGCGTTATCTACACAACAACACGGTGGGCGAGTGATTGCTGTTCTCCCACACTCACTGGCCCCACGAGAAGTGTCAGGAGCGAAGATTGGAGATATTTTGTACATGACAGAGACCATGAGTGAACGGAAGAGTATTATGTTTGCACATGCCGATACGGTAGTGGCCCTTCCAGGTGGGGCGGGTACCTTTGATGAGTTATTGGAAGTATTAACACTACTTCAATTGAATGCCTATCGACCAAAGGTGGGACTTGTGAATGTGGATGGTTTCTTTGATCCTTTCATTGCATTGATGAAGCATATGGTAACGGAAGGGTTTATGGAGGAACTCGTCTTGCAGGCATTTGTGGTGCGGCCCACTGCCGTTGAACTCATGCAGGCACTCGAGTCCTTTACACCACCAACTATCACGACATTGAAGTGGAATGCACGACCGTGAGTAAGCGAGTAAAGAGAGAGAGAGAGAGAGAGAGAGAGAGAGAAAAGAGGTACGGGGAAAGGAGGGGAAAATGTGAAAGGAAACTTGCTCATTCCAGTTGATGGAGTGAATAAGATATGATAAGGATATAAAAAAAGAAAGGGAGTATATATATATATATATATATAAGTTTTATCGTACCATCCGGAATTTCTGAATGAAATAAAAGATAAAACGTGTCAAAGAAGAAAAAGGAATGGAAAGAGTGTCTTTTTTTTTTTTTTTGTTACATTATTAATACTGATTATTATTATTATTTATTTATTTACTTTTGTTTCTTTCTTTCTTTTTCTTTCTTTTGGTGAAGCTTATATTAAACTCAAATGCCTTCCACTGCTATGTCGTCCATCCCAGTTGCACTCACTTATGATGACGTCTTGCTCGTTCCCCAGAAAAGTGACGTGCGTTCACGCAAAGACGTGAGTACCGCCACACGTCTCTCACGCAATATTAAACTTCAAATCCCTATTGTTGCCAGTAATATGGATACCGTATGTGAACATCAAACAGCCGTTGCAATGGCTCGTGAAGGTGGTATTGGCATCCTGCATCGTTTCTGCAGTATTCAAGAACAGTGTGATATGGTTCGTAAGGTGAAACGTGCACAGTCATTTCTGATTGAAAACCCTATCATGATTACACCGAGTGGAACAAAGGAAAATGCTCTTGAAGGATTAAATTGGGGTGGTAGAAAGGGAGGTGTTGGATGTCTTATGGTAGTGGAGAATTTCCAAAACCGAAAACTGCTTGGTATCGTAACCCGGCATGATCTCGTCTTGGCAGACCCAAGGGATCCGGTATCCGCCTTCATGACCCCAGTTAAGGATATGGTACTCTCTACGAATACAAGGATTACTCTTGAAGAGGCCCGTGAAAAGATGCGTAAGCACCGTACATCCAATATCCCAATTGTGGGAAACAATGGTGAACTAATTTATCTTGTGACACTCTCTGATATTGTAAAGCTTACAGAAAATAAGACGGCTTCTCTCGATTCTCGTGGTCGTCTTTTGGTTGGTGCGGCCATAGGTGTAAAGAGTGATGATATTAATCGTGCAGCCATGCTTGTGGAGGCTGGTGCAGATGTGCTTGTGGTGGATATCGCCCATGGTCACAGTGCTCTCTGTATAGATATGATTAAACGACTGAAAGCAGATCCACGTACACAAAAAGTGGATATCATTGCAGGCAACATCGCCACAGCGGCAGCAGCAGAAGATCTCATTCATGCTGGTGCGGATGGTCTTAAGATTGGAGTGGGACCGGGCAGTATTTGTATTACACGTCTTGTGGCTGGTGCCGGTGTGCCCCAACTAACGGCTGTGATGGAGTGTACACGTGTGGCCCAGAAGTATAATATTCCATGCATTGCCGATGGTGGTGTGAAGACTTCCGGTGATATTTGCAAAGCCATTGCAGCTGGTGCCGATACTGTGATGTTGGGAAATATGCTGGCGGGTACAGATGAGGCCCCAGGTCGTGTATTAGTAAAGGATGGAAAAAAAGTAAAAATTATCCGTGGTATGGCTGGATTTGGTGCCAATCTAAGTAAGGCTGAACGTGAACGTACATTAAATGAAGATGTCTTTGCAGAGATGGTCCCAGAAGGTGTGGAGGGAAGTGTACCTTGCAAAGGACCCATTGGCCCTATATTAAGACAACTGGTGGGTGGACTGCGGTCTGGAATGTCTTATTGCGGTGGATGTACGATTAAGGAAATGCAGAAAAAGGCGAAGTTTGTTCGCATGACAGGTGCTGGACTCCGTGAGAGCGGTAGTCATGATATATCTAAGTTGTGATCATACATTCTCTCCCCCTCTCTCTCTCTCTCTCTCTCTCTCTGTCTCTCTCTCTTTCTAGTAAAGAGTGGGGCGAAAAAGGAAGAAATAAATAAATAAAAGAATAAAACCAAAAAAAAAAGGATGGTTTTGGATAATGAGAGAGAAGAAGAAGGGGAAAAACAAATATATATGTATATATGTATATATATACAAAAAGGAAAATATTGGTGATACAAGGTAGAAGAAAAAAAAAATTGGGGTATTGTTTTTCATACCCTTAACTCACATAAGTTGATATCTCCCTCCCTCTCCGTCTTGTTTAGTGGAAAAAAAAACAAGGACAAAAAAAAAGAATAAAAAGCAAAGATATGAAGAAGGAGTTAAATTTTCTTTCTATATAATATGGTGATTTTCTTTTTTTTTTTTTTTAGTTTTTTCTACTGTTGTTTTCTTTTTTTTCTTGTTGTTGATTTGTTTGTTTTTTGTTAATCTGTTTTTTTTTGTTTGTTTGTTTTTTTACTGAGGTGTAAATACATGTATGTAGCACTGATGATAAATAAACGGCTCCTAGTGGACTATATGATGCAGAATGGGAAAACGCAATTAAAAACGTTTCTGTAAAGGACGTGGGAAAACTGCATCCCGAATCCTAATCATTATACGAAACCAAAAAAAAAAAAGAGGTTTAGAAACAAAATGGATATTTACATAAAGAATGATTTTCTCCTGACATTATCGCTACTTGATGGTGCATCTCATACTGAATTTATATTTTTTTCTTTTTTTCTTCTTTTTTTTCTTTGAAAGTGGAGGAAAAGGTAGGGGGCATCAAGCGAGAAAAAAATAAAAAATAAAAAAAGGATAGATCTTCATATATTTTATTATTATTATTTCTATTATTAAAGAAAAGGTGGGAAGGTGTGTATAATGAGATCTGCATTTGAAATCGCCAGAAGCCATATCGCCCATCCCGTTTCAAAGGACCCTAATGCTCTCATGAAAGTCCTTCGAGATTGGCTGCACTACACAGAGCAGGTGGAATTGCAGGCAAAACCCACACACCCCGCCGCATTATGTGTGAAGGTCTATCCACGTAAACCAACATCTGCTTTTAAACTCTCATCACGTAATTTTTCTTTTTATCGTCCACATCATTCTTCAGTGGAGGAGAGGGATGTATACACAAAGTATATTCCTCTTCAGTTATGGACCGCTCTTCTTCCATGGGAAGTGCAGCGTGGGCTTTCCATGAGTGAATTGCGACTACCTGAAATGGAAACGGGAATCCCCTGTGAAGAGATGAGGAAAGAAAAGATGAAGACCACAGAAGAAAATAATAATAATAATAATAATAATAATAATAATAATAATAAGGAAGAGGAAGAAGAGGATGATCCTTTTGGAGTAGTAACTCCACAACCAAGTAGTAAACACAGTGTAACACATTTCCCTCACAAAACTGTAAGAGCTTCTGGAGATCCGGCTCCAGGGATGTTGTTCGTCATGGATGCTTCTTCTGCTGATCAAGGTATTAGTTTCTGGAGTGGGGCTATTTTACAGTCCATTGACGTTGCCTTTATTTCTCCTGTAGAACCAGTAGCCACAAACACTCAATCATTTCAAGAACTTCGGAAACGTCAAATGGGGGCATCTGAAGGTGTAGCGGGTGGAAAAAACGGATATGATATCACACGTTTTTTTCAAGATGGTGAATTAGATTCCCCAACGGTTACATTTGCAGTACAGTCGTACTCGCACTTGGATCCTTTTCCACATGTAGACAAAAACAATAATAATGATTGTGATTGTGGAAAGCGAAAACACGTAGCTCAACCAGAGGAAGAAGGAAAAGGAGAAAAAAATGAAAAATGGGGAATTGGTTCTGGCGCAAGTGTACGTTATGTGCTAGAGACTACACGACATTTACTTCGAGATAGTACGATGACGGCTCTGCGTGAATACCACCAACTTCGACGAGGTACAAATGTAGTATCAATGGAAGAGGGAATAGAAAATGTGGAACTTAGTATTTCTTTACTACTTTCAGATGAATTAAAGGAGGAGTTACGAGAAAAGGCACGTTTGTGTACGAACTATGTAGTACCTCTTGAGGAAAACCTTAGTGAACACATCCGACGTCAAAACAAAAGCACTATAATGAATTCATCCACCAATGAAGCTGTAAAATCAGATGAGTATGATGATGATGATAATAATAAAATGGAAGATTCTCCTCTCTTGTATAATTCCTCTGTTGCTCTTTCTTCATCTTTGTCGTCATTGTCTACCGGTAATTTTGATTCTGATGCGGCTGCTACAATTCGTCCTTCACAGCCAAATGGAACTCGTGCTGATCGACGCTTATCTCTTCGATCTCCAATGTTGGCAGATGAAGATGAAGAAAATCCCACCTACTTAGCTCCATCTGTAATGGGTAAGCATGAAGCCCCAGTACTTCAGCAGGCAGAGGAACAGCAGCAGCAGCTTGTGAGTGCCAAAGCCCTCGCTCGTTACCCCAAAACTTCCCCTCGCATGCCGACTGAACCTCCTATTGATTATGAATTGTTTGATCTCTCTTTACGTTTGGGATTATGTCAACAAGATGCTATTTATTACTTTTATGGACGTATCATGCGAGAATGGCAAAAAGAACTGCAGCGCCTGAGAGGTAAAGCTGCTTCTCTTGGTGGTGATAATAACAATAACAATAACAATAGTAGTATCAGTAGCGGTAGTAAGAGCAATGAACTCTCTGCGACTGATGTACGCCGTATGCTTCGCCTTGTCAGAGATCCTTCGCTTCAAGTTCCAGGAGAACTCTCCTCGTGTGTAGAGGCTGTTGCCCAGCGCAGAGGTATTACAATCTAAGGATGTGGAATGAAAAAAGGAAAGAGAAGAAGGAAGAGGAGGAGGACCTTTTTTGAAGGATGTGACTATCAACTATGACACAGGTTTCACAGAAACAATAATGGCAACATCAATAATAAGAAGAAAATATACATATATTAAATACTTCTATTATTGTTGCTGTTGTTGTAAAAAGAAAAAAAAACGTTTTACCGATTTTTTTTATTTATGCTTATCTCTCTCGAGACCGTTTAAGATCGTTTTTTTTTTTTTTTTATGCGATTCTGGTTGCAGTGTCTTTTGGCCGATTCCTACAATAAATCATTGGATAGGGGCCTGTTATTCTGTGTATTTATTTTTATTTTTCCATTTTATCTTCCCTTTCCACGCTGTTTTTTTTTTTTTTTTGTTGTTGTTGTTCTTGTTCTTGTTCTTCTTCTTTAACATTATGTGTAGAAAAAAAACACGGTATATATATACTGTGAGGGAAAGCAAAAGAAAGGTTACATAGGTGAAGGCGATAGCGGTATCCCCCTCACTGCGTCACCTCAAAGGGAACCTCCCACTATAATCATCATTATTCCACCCCCTCTACACACACACACACAGATAAACAGAGAAAGAGAGAGAGAGGCATATATTAACTACGTCTTCCCCCATTAATTCAACAACTTTAAAATGTCTCGAATGCGATTTAAGGGTGGTGCATGGACCAATAGCGAGGATGAGGTGCTCCGCGCTTCACTCTCCGTGTATGGTCTGCACAACTGGGAGCGGGTGGCATCCATGCTTGTACGCAAGACCGCCGCGCAGTGCCGCGAACGGTGGGAAAGTCATCTTGATCCTCGACTGAATCTGCAGGAGGCGTGGACCGCCAGTGAAGAGGCGGCGCTGGTGGAACTCCACGCACTCTTCCCACAGCAGTGGGGTCTCATTGCGCAGGAACTGCGACATCGCACTGGAATGAACCGGCCGCCGTGGCTCTGTGAGGAACACTACCACAGTTTACTTGACGCCCTTGAGTATGAACGGCGTCAGCGGCGGAAAACAGAAGGTGATGTCAGTACTAGCGGCGGTAATAATGAGAATAACAAGAATAACAACAGGAAAGACTCCTTGACATTAGAAGAGTTTCTGGAGGAACGCCGTCGGCAGCGTAGTGTTCACCAGGGTTACGAAACCCGAGCAGCAAGACCAGATGCTGTCAATTCAGATGTGTTTGAAAAAGAGATGGTAGAGTTTGCCGTTAGTCGTCTGGCAAATCAAGATGGTAAAAAGGGACTGCGTAAAGAGCGTAAGAAGCAGCTTGAACACACCAGTTTTCTTGCTAAATTGGAAAGCAATCGTGAGTCTATTGAATCTGGTACACTTTCTGCTAAAGCAAAGAAACGTATGGATCGGGCCATGTTGGAAGATCTTGCAGGACCAAGTGGTACACGACTGCAGGACAACATCGTTGAAGATGGCGCAGATGATGATGATGATAATGAAGAAGAAGAAGAGGGGAATGAGGAGGAGGATCAACAGCAGCAACTAAAAAAGCGAAAACAAGAGGCCTTTCAACCCATAGATTTGGGTGCAGATAAACAGGCTGCTGGAATTCAAGCTAAACAGCGTGTTCTTGTAAAAAATCTTTCAGCTAGTTCAACTCAACACTCTCAAGATGATGCGGTAAAAGAAGGTGTTAATATGGAATTGCTGCGCCTAGCGAGCGGTATGCCCACCACTGGAGGGAATAAGCGGCTGGAAAATAAGAAGAGTGTCTCCTTTTTGACTGGCATTAAAATGGAAACTGGAACTGGTTTAGCTAATCAAAATGATAGTGCTAGCAATACAGTAACAAACAGTGAGAAAAATGTCCCAGATCTCGATGATCTCTTCGCAACTCTGCCTGATGTTATGACAAGCACGCAAAAGAAAGAAACACATGTAGATGTTCTTTCAGATGACCTTTTCGCTACATTACCAGCTCCCAAACCCACCAGTAGTAGTGATAGTAGTAACAATAGTGTGAATGAAGAACTTGTTACTGATACTGTTCCTCTTCCTCTTGAGAGAGAACTCATGACAGTGGAAACAGAAGAAGAAAAAGAAAAAGAAGAAACTCTTGACTTCACTACACCTTCAGGACGTCTTTGGCTTACCGAGGCTAAACGACGCGTGGCACTAGAGAATGAACGTACATTTTTAAAGTGTAAACGTGTTCGACGGAATAGTCTAGATAGGAGCATTTCATTGCACCATCAGCAACAAGATGATAAGAAGAAAGAAGAGGAAGAAGAAGAAGATGTTGATGATGTTGAAGATGATAACACGCAGCGTGTTGTGCGTGCCCTCGTGTTAAATCAAATGTCTGCCACAGCGCGGCAACTTCTCAATGGAAAGGTGATTCGAGATGAGCCTGCGAAGAAGAAGAGGAAACATAGTAGCAACAACGACAACAAGGGTGAAGAACAGGAGGCAGTAGAAAGAGAAACGAAAGAAGAAGAAGAAGAAGAAGAATTAAGTGCTAAACTTGCAGACCGTGTTGCTGCTGTACGAGAAGAAGAATGTGGAGATTTTTGGAAAAGTGTGGGTGCCACAGAAGCGACTGTACAATTGGAAGAACTTGTGAGTCACCAACGCGAGCATGTCGCTTCAGTCACTGAAAGTGCCATTGAAGCAGAAAAGAAGGCGGAGCGCATCGTGCGTGTTTGTTTCGCTCCTTTTGGTGATCCCCAGATGCGTTACGATGATGTTGTTAATAACAACAATAACAACAAGAATCTTGAGAGTCGTCGTGGTAGTGATGGTGATGTGGTTCGCCGTGCCTGTGTATATTGGGGTGGGAAACTTGTGGATGCGCAGAGGGAACTTGCGTTCTATACTGCCATGCGTGGGGATGAACAGCAAGAGATTCAACGACGTGTGGATGCAGCCACACACACATTAGAAGAAATTGAAGAGAAGGAACGAGTTCTTCAGGAACTGTACCGTTCGATGCGTCTTGAACATGCTTGAAAAATGGTTAAAAGGTTGGTTTCGTTGAGAATTGGTAAGGTTTCTAATGAAACCTGTTATAATGTGTAATATATATATATATATATATATATTTTTTCTCATCCTTTTATCCTATGTTTCTTTTTTTCTTTTTTTATGTTTCTTTACTAAGTATAATTTGTAATGTATATATTTATGTATATTTTTCTTTGTTTTTGTTTTTTTGCTTTATCCTTCCTTTATTTGTAGCCATATGCTCCGCTGGATTGTGAAGGAAGTGGAGAGCCCGTATGGCTCTGTTGCCACCATGCACTGGGCGGTAGATGACAGTAGTGATGATGATAATAATAATAATAATCACAGAAGTGATGACATCTCAACAAGCAAGTCCAATGATGATACAGATGAAGTTCAACTTCAGGTGCAACTAGAAACTGCTGAAGATCAGCTTGGTGCGGTATTGTGGAATAGTAACACAGTGGCATTACGTTATTTACAACAACATGTCCTTTGCGAAAGGACAGACACTTGTTGTATTGTGGAACTTGGCGCTGGTGTTGGATGTCTTGGAATTGCGCTGGCAATGGCAGGTGCACGTGTTGCCATTACAGACATAAAGGAACTCGTGCCACTAATGCAAAAGAATATTGAGTTAAACGCCGCGAGAATTCATTCAAAGAGTAATGGAAAAGGCTCTTGTACAGCAATTGCATGGCGTTGGGGTCCAGCCCAGATGCCAAAGAAGAAAAAGAATCAGAAACAAAAGCAGAAATGCAAGGAACAACAACAGGAAGAAATTAAAAAAGGAAAAGAAGCCAATGTTAGTGGTAGTGAAGGAATGAGCACAACGCCGTTTGGCTCACCCTCACCATCATTTCTGGCACTGCAGGAAGTGATGGACCACGTTGATTATGTTATTCTCTGCGATGCCCTCTACGGTAATCCGAAAGACTGGCCATTTCTGTTATTCACATTGACAGAGATCCTTGTCGCAAATCCGTCTTGTGAAGTAATTAATTTTTGTGAACAGCGTGTGAATGATGTGGAAGGAGATTTTCTGCGACTCTTGGAACAGGAAAACGCCAAGAGAGCTCCATTTACTGATGTGGGAAATAATAATGATAATGATAATGATGGTGAAAGTATGGAGATGGCGCTAACGCGAATGCGTGGACGATATGTGTGGGATACAACAACAGAAGTTGTGAATGAAGGAGCAAGTGATTTGGATATGACGGTGCGGGCCACACGTATTCGATGGGTTCCAAGGCAAAAGAAGCGTCCAGCTTCCTCTTTATCGTCCTCATCTTCTGATGTTGCTCATGATGATGATGATAATAATAATAATAATAATAATAATAATAATAATAATAATAATAAATGATGATGATAAGGATAATAATAGCGAGGGAAAGTCGCAACATAAACGTTGAAGTGTCTTGTGAGAGTATTTTTCTGGAAAAGACGGAGAGGAGAGGGGTGTGTGTTATTATGGAACACTGCTTTTCCCTTTTGCTAACTTATTGAAATAAAACCAAGTTACATCACTGGCAGTGTAAAAAAAAAAGTATAAGACCCCAAGGTATCAGCTTCTTGCTTTCTTTCTTTTTTTTTGTTTCGTTGTTGTTGTTGTTGCTGTTATTCTTTTTAGAATTAACCGATCTGTTTTTTTTTTTTTTCTCTACTCTTCTACCCCCTTTGGACACAGAAGAAAAAAAAAAGAATAGACAATACTCCATAGACCACATCAAAGGCTCTAGCTGAGGTAAAAAGGGGAAGAAAAAAAAAAAAAAAAAACATTAAAAAAAAAAAATCAACAAAATAGAGGCTTAAAGAAGCAGAAAGAAAAAAGAACAAGGATAAGTAAAAACTCTATCCAAGTACAGTGCTTTGGGTATATATTTTATATATTCTTCTTTTCTTTTTCTTCTGTGATGACGGCGGTGCAGTACTCCGCATGCCCGATCTTCCCTGGTGAGGTGGAAGACTACTACTGCACGGACTGCCACACCCCATGCAGTGGACTCGCCCTGCTGGTGGGCCCTCACACCGGCCACAGTCGTCTCCCGCTGCTGCACGCCGCGGAGTACATGCCGGCCACACTCCGTCGCCAGGCACACACATTACAACAACAAATACGCGAGGAGTATACACTTCCAAAGGAGGCACACTGTAGTTCTCTTCATTCCACACTGCAACACCTGCAGGAGGAGAGAGAACAGAAGAAATTACAGCTAGAGCGACTTCAGCAAGAGTTGTGTGAGTTGGATGTAAAGATAGATACGGCCGCTCAAGCCTGTGCAACGGCATTGTGTCATTGGTCTCAACGACGTAGTGGTTTCGTTCGCAAGGCTCAGTTATTATTACATGGCGCAGATGCACTCGCCAAAACAGTTGGATTATGTGAGAGAAACTCACATTCCCGTAGGCGTAGTGGTTTGCATACTGTCGTCTCTCCTCCCATTACTACTTCTGATATGGATTCTGCTCCTGCCGCTTCTCCCGATGCCACTCCAACTGATGCTGCTGCACTTTCACCGCAGACAATTCGAACAATTGCTAAGGAGTTAAGTGAGGTGCAACAACTGTTGATGCATCCACTACACTTTCTGGAAAAGGAAACAGAAGAAGAGCAGAATCCACAGTGGATCTCTCGTTTCTTGGGAGACGAAGGCCTTCTTCTTTCTGAGAAGGATATAGAGAAGAAACAAGGGTTGAGTCGACAGAGTAAGAACACCAGCTCCAGTACATCAATTCCATCGGATTCAAGGATTGTCCTTGAGCGAATGATCACTACACAAAAAGAACCGAAGAAACAAACTCTGTCCTCTGCTGAGAACTATCCTATAGATGGTAATAATAATAATAATAATAATAATAATAATAATAATAATAATAATAACTTTGATGATAATGATGATAGTGATGACGATAGTGACGATGATCATGATGACAAGGATGCAAGGTCCGCTGCACACCGGCAGCGTTGGCGGCATGATATCAAGCGGCGAGAACGAATTCTTCGTGAAGGACTCAATCGATGTTTGTTGAGTGAGACTCTTCAGAAACGCAGAACAACCACATCATCATTATCAGTAGGAATGGGAGTAGCAGGTGATGAGACGGATGTGAATGATATCAGCAGCAGTAGTAACAACAGTGGTGGGAGTGTTCATGAGGTGGTATCACAACTACTACGCCGTCATACTGCGAAAAACACAATAAATCCCCAACCATCCAATCATCAACGGTATCTCTTTTATTCACCCGATTGGGAAGAAGATCAATAAAAGTTGATTTGGAAATGGCAAGGATACCGGTCAAAAAAAAAAACCCAAAACAAATTTCCATAGAAGTGAAAGAAAAAAAAAAAGTGAGTGAGTGAGTGAATAAGTGTAAAAGACACAAAGGGAGAAAAACTAGTGAGAATGTGCTCCTTTTTGATATTTTTTTCTGTTTGTCATGCTCTCTATTATCCTCTTATCATTTGTTCCTTTTTCCAATTTTCTTCTACCCTTTTTTCTATTTACCATCTTCCTATGATGTAAGCCTTTACACTAAAAGCACAAGAACACTAACAAAAAAAAAAATTGGCCAAATAAATAAAAACAGAAAATACACTTTATCTTCATAGCAGAAAGATAACAAGATGTGCAATAGCAATCTATTGACACTTTTCAGTTGTTCCAACTGCTGTTGCTGTTTGTATTGCTGCTTTTTGTGATGAGACACAAGCTTAGGACACCTTTGGATGCGAGGGTGAGAAA